TTTGTTGGTGTATTCCCGGGTATACCCGGGTTATATATTAGTGTATACACTGTGCTGAGGGTATACCTGGAACCAACACTTTGATGAAGGTATACCCGAACCAACACTGTGATGAACGTATACCTAGAACCAACGCTGTGATGAAGGTATACATAGAACTAACACTGTGATGAAGGTATACCTGGAACCACCAGTGTGAAGAAGGTATAACTGGAACCAACATTGTGATGAAGGTATACTTGGAGCCAACATTGTGATGACGGTATAACTGGAACTAACACTGTGATGAAGGTATACCTAGAACCAACACTGTGATGAAGATATACTTGGAACCAACAGTGTGAAGAAGGTATACCTGGAACCAACACTGATGAAGGTATACCTGGAACCAACACTGTGATGAAGGTATACCTGGGACCAAGACTGTAATGAAGGTATACCTGGAACCAACACTGTGAAGAAGATATACCTGGAACGAAAACTCTGATGAAGGTACACCTGGAACCAAGACTGTGATGACGGTATACCTAGAACCAACACTGTGATGAAGGTATACATAGAACTAACACTGTGGTGAAGGTATACCTGGAACCAACAGTGTGAAGAAAGTATACCTGGAGCCAACACTGTGAATAAGATATACCTGGAACCAACACTGTGAAGAAGGTATACCTGGAACCAATACTATAATGAAGGTATAGCTGGAACCAACAGTGTAAAGAAGATATACCTAGAACCAACAGTGTGAAGAAGGTATACCTGGAACCAACACTGTGAAGAAGATATACCTAGAACCAACAGTGTGAAGAAGATATACCTGGAACCAACACTGTGAAGAAGATATACCTAGAACCAACAGTGTGAAGAAGATATACCTGGAACCAACACTGTGAAGAAGATATACCTAGAACCAACAGTGTGAAGAAGATATACCTGGAACCAACACTGTGAAGAAGATATACCTAGAACCAACAGTGTGAAGAAGATATACCTAGAACCAACAGTGTGAAGAAGTATACTGGAACCAACACTGTGAAGAGATATACCTAGAACCAACAGTGTGAAGAAGTATACCTGGAACCAACACTGTGAAGAAGATATACCTAGAACCAACAGTGTGAAGAAGATATACCTGGAACCAACACTGTGAAGAAGATATACCTAGAACCAACAGTGTGAAGAAGATATACCTGGAACCAACACTGTGAAGAAGACATACCTAGAACCAACACTCTGAAGAAGACATACCTGGAACCAACACTGTGATCTAACACTTCCTCCTCCTCCTAACTATCGCCCTGTATATCAATCACTGAATATACCTTTAAAGCTTTCAATGGTCTCGTGGGGACGAATAACTATAAGCTATGATTAGCCTATGTAAAAATCCAAAATAAATGGGAAATGAGTTATACATGCCAAAAAAATTATTCTTATATCTAGCAACACTTTGGTGTATGTCTCGTTTCTGTACGATAATTCTGTACGATAATTCTGTACGATAATTCTGTACGATAATTCTAAATAAAGTCAACGCAATAGAATGAATGAGGTGATGACGTCAGATGCGGAAGTCTTATATGTAAAAAACTAATATTTGTTGTAACTTTATTATTTATGAATCGATCATTGTGATTTTTACAACAATTATTCTAAGGTCATTGTTCTACAAACTGATTTTAGAATATTGGCAATAATCCTTCATTTTTTGCATACCATGGGCGTAAAATTCAAAAACTGAAAAAAAAAATAGTTTAGACATAAGTGTGATTTTTGTGGGAACTACAAAAGATTTTTATAATATAATTTTAGATCATCGAAAAATCCACTTGACATTTCTTCATTATTTTGTTTAGTATACAAAATAACTCTGAGATTAGTGTAATTAATGTGACATTGATACAAATAAAATGTTGATACAAATAAAATGTCACATTAGTTGCATTTGTGTCCTTTTACCTAATATATTGTCGGTAATTCTACCAACATTAATGCAACTTCGACTTTGTTATTATTTCAGAATTGTGATATATTTCTTGCAATTTAAAAAAAATTGGGCTTTTATTTTTTTATTTATTTATTTATTACACAATCTTCACGAAGCGTTTTTCTCATACTCCGAGAGTCTATGATAAAATTTGGAGGAAATCGTAGAATGAATAAAGAGAATAAAAAAGCCATGGTTACTTCCCCTTATACCTGGTACTGTTCTCCTCTTGATGCCAGGTACAGGTAGGTACCTGGACCCTGGCCAGGGCCGGTCCTGGCCAGGGTCTTCTTCATGAGGTAACCTGGCAACTTTGTATACCAGTACAGGTTCTGCAGGGTACATTGTCCTAATTTCATCTTATTAATATGTAATTAGCCTCGTTTCGAAATTGTTATAATATATTTATTACTTTTGCTTTAGTTGTCGACATTGAGGATTATCTTTATTCCATATAAAGTGTAATTCAGTTTTAATCTCCCTGTACTCAGTTCTACCTTCTCTGATACAAGTCACTATAGTTGTATAGAGATAATCTCTGTTTCCTCATCAAACGTGTTGTTCCGCAAGGTTCTATTTGTAGCCTCCTCTACTTGTTATTGCTTGCTAATTATTTTGTCACGTATAACGCCTTGATCTTCTAATGCTGATGACTCCAATCTAAACTCTATACTTCATTGCACCATGCACTTTGACAACTTTTACTAAACCTAATATAAATCATATCTAATAAAAAATATCGTTTTGCCTATTACTCCCAAGCAAAATTTTATCTATATCCATATTTAAAAAAAATCACTCCGATCTTAAACATTAATCTTAGTTTATTACCAGAATCTTACTTATTGTTCTCAGGAACTTTTAACCTCTATAATACTTTATGAATCTCTCCAGAGCAGCTCATTCACCACTAAGTGATGCCTGTGCAGATTTTCTTCACTTTTCTTAGCTTAAAATAAATAAATGATATTTGTAAATATAAATGAAACGAAAATAAATTAATTTTGAAACTTTAGAGAAAATACAGTAAACGAAGATAGGCTGTTCACAGATGGTAAATATTGCTTACCCTAGACAGGAAAGCTTTATTGTCTAGGCTATATTTGACTCTCACCTTGTATATAATCCTTGACGCCTCTGATATCTCAACTTTGAATAGTGAAAAGATATCTCTAAGTTATTTGTTTCATGTGACTACTAATATTCTGTATAATTATTATTTACAAAAGGGCTACTGTTGAATCTGATTAATTGTATTTTAACAGTTGTCATTGTAAACATTTAAGGCAAATAATCGCTATAATCTCTTTCTCCTTTAAACTCATTAACCTTCTGTTATCACAATAGTAGTAAGCCATACAACATATTCACTACCATTTCTTCAGAATTTAGGCCCTGTACTTCCTACTGTCATGTCCGAATTATCTATCAAGGTATTCCTACACGTAAATAGGTACCTCGACTTTCTGGCGGCTTGCTTGCCTGTGTACAACAGGGTGACTGGTTTAGTGTTGTGGAAAATTGCATTTGTCTGAATGTATCATTATGTGCATAACAATAAATGAACATAGATAATTATTATTTATCAGTTAGACAAGTAGGAATTTGGGACACCTAGGCCGCAAAAAATGTCCCCCTTCGATACCTACCACTGTCATATCCACAAGTTGCTCTGGACCTATTAATTACCAATGAAATATGTATAACCAGGAATACTGGTAAATATATAAATTTTGTGGACTGTATATTAAAAATAATAAATGGTTATATATATACACAATTACATAACAGAAGGAAAATATATCTTAATATCACTCACCAATTTGACTGGAGATTAATGTGTCATGTACAGGACCCCCCCCTTTTGCCTACATTTATGAAAAATTTACTGGCCAGAAATTAAACATAATTTAGACAGCTTATCTGAGGTTCCTGGAGTCGTCCTGTCCTGTCGCCTGATACTCAAATTATGCAGGAATGCACATCCAACAATTTTGCCTCCTATTTGAGAGTTGTCAGTCAAATTTTAACTTCTAGAGCACGAAAAATTCTTCCCATTATTCACAACGTGTTATTCACTTCTAACAAAATGGCGACTGACTCCCCCAGCCGCAGGTTTCCCATTTTCGATAACATACGTCTTTTAAAAATACAATATAGGGCATCTATTTACCTATAAATTACCGTATTTCCGGAAAATATATACAGTATTTTCCACAAGTGTATTAACTTCAGTTGTACAGCATTCAATGTTTATTTATCAGTTTATAGTTTTAAGTAAATAAAGACGTATTTTGTATTGTCAATGCTAAATATTTCCAAATACGTCCTTATGTGATAGTTAAATAAGGATCTATGGGGAAAGAGGCAGATGAAATATAATGAAATATTTTACTGACAACATTTCACCAACACAGTGGGAGAAATTAATTTCTTGAATAATATTCACACAGTATGTTCTCAAGCATGACATCTCAACTTCTTTCAGCCGCTACCTCACTGCAACTTTGAGTCCATGAGTCACACCCATATCATAGCGTTGGTAATAATACACTCTGTTACATAGCACTTTTTTTTTTTTACCCCACTGATGAACTCCTGATTTTTCTATTAACTACCTTTCTTTCCCTCGTTTATTCCAAAGTTCACCTCACCCCATCTGCCATCACATACACTCCCAAATATTTAAATGCAATTCACTCACTCCAAACTTCCTTCCAAGCTTTCATTGCCTAATCTTTTTTTGGCATTCTCGTCATCTCGTTTTTTTCTGTGTTTACCTATAACTTCTTTCTTTCGCACAAAGTCCCAAATTCCTTCATCACCCACTGCAAATCTGAATCTACCAAAAGAACTGTGGATAATAAAAAATTCTGCATCCACGGATGAAGAATTAATTGTCAGATATTCTTCTGGCTTTTATTTTATGTTAATTACTAATATACGTCCTCTTGATGTTAACTATTTTTATTCTTTCCCAGGGCCACCATGCACCCACAAGAGTGGTCTTCACAAAGGCATCACTGCATCAAGAAGGAATACAATACACAATCTACCTGCACAACCACTGAGTTGTGGTGGGTGTTGCAGCGGCACAGTCTCGCCATCACACACAGCACAATGGACTGTTTTACTGAAGAAAACCTTCAAATGCCATGACTGTGGCAGCCCAACACGAGCTACTTCTCTGACGACTTCTTTAACCACCGTGACGGCCATAACACTGGTCCGCCGCACCCTCCTCCTGTTCAGATGTTATTCAGTAAAATGGATATTGCTTCTTGAAATGCTGAAACTCCTAGCAATATAAGCTGTATCATATTACAAGATTTTTTTAGGTGAAATGACATTTTGAGGGAAACATGAAACTTTATACTCGAATACATGTCATATGCTGAACAATTAAAATAAAATAGTACAAATAACAGAGAAAATCACCGGTACTGAGATTTTGCAAACTGAAGGAAGCCCTTTGAACTCGCCTTAACGTAAATAAAAAAGAAAATGGTGCTCTTCGCCTCTCATTTGGCGACAAACTAAGCCTCTGTTACCATGGCAACCCGACGAAGTGGCGTGTCGGTAGTGGGTGGTCAGAGCCTGGACCCGGACACCACCCACACCCACACCTGGTGAGTGGCCAGAGGCAGGACCTGGACCACCACCCACACCTTGTGGGTGGTCAGAGCCTGGACCCAGACCACCACCCCCACCGTCCCTCCCTCCACTCCCTGTGGCTCCCAAACTCCACTCAAGAGACTCTACGGGGCCCTGAGGACGACGACAGTGCCACCGGCTCCTTAATTGACATCATGACCAGCCCGGTGTCGTCTCTCATGCACGACGACCTCCTCTTCCTCCAGGGAAACGACACCAATGACACCACAACCACTGGTTACGTGCCATACTTCCAACGACCAGAAACCTACATTGTTCCCACCCTCTTTGCAGCCATCTTTATTGTCGGCGTCATAGGTAATGGAATGTAGTGGGCATGGGAGATAGTAGGCATGGGACATAGCGGGCATGGGAGATAGTGGGCATGGGACATAGCAGGCATGGGAGATAGTGGGCATGGGACATAGTGGGCATGGAAGATAGTGAGCATGGGAGATAGTGGGCATGGGAGATAGTGGGCATGGGAGATAGCGGGCATGGTAGATAGTATACATGGGAGATAGTGAGCATGGGAGATAGTGGGCATGGGAGATAGTGGGCGTGGGAGATAGTGGGCATGGGAGATAGTGGGAGTGGGAGGTAGTAGCTGGTATGGCGCTTACACTAATTTTTCCTGTGATTTGTGGATATCTATTTTTTAATATAAAAATTACCTTCAAGATCTGGAGGAATATGGCAGGGATCATATAGTGGATTATTACATTAAACCAGCATAGCAATTCATGAAGTTCAAATGAACGCCAGCAGGCATTAATTAAGTCAGACGGAAGAACCCGCCACGTCACCATCCCAGATTACTTATTACTGACGTCTTGCTCGCGAAACAGCACGCTAGTGAGTGAGGTAGACACTAGATGGACAGTAACGGCTTAGCAAAGCTCCTGGAGAGCGAAACGTAGTCACAATAAAATGTCACATCACTTGCACATGTGTCGTTTTACCTAACATATTGTTGGTAATTCTACCAACATTATTATGACTCATATGCAGCCTAGTGGTAGCACTTGTTAAATTGATGATCAGCGCGCGCACCGTGGTTAAGATATTTTGCTATTAAATATTGCGTCAGCTCTTACCTTTTATATCTTAGTATTCACAGAATCAAACTTTCATCATCCGTACTTTTGTAATCAGGAATGTATATTAATAAGGCTTAAGGAGTTAACCTTATAACTTCAGTTAGGTTAGGTAAGGTTCGTCAAGAAACAGGACATGTGTTACCTGACGTGGGTCTTAGTCAGATGATGACCCACCTTTGGAGCTTTTGGTCATCTCACCGGCTTAACGGTCCACCCCTTTAAAAATTATGGTAAGTTATAACTTCAGTGATTCACTGATTTCATATATTAGACTCTTGGAAATGATCTCTTATGGCAGACAAAGGCGAAAGGCAACAAGTGAAAATAAATGCCCAGGAAATAGGACGCCATTTTAATACAACGTTTCACCCAAGGCTGAGCTGAAACGTTGTATGAAAAGGATCGTATGAGCCTTGGTAATTAATACCGACAAATTTCTTTAAAAAGATACGTTTATTAGAAAACGTTTCGGTTCTGAGACCTTGATCACTTCTAACACACACACAGGTTGAAAATAATAGTATAACACCCCACTTAACCAGTTGGATCAATGGTATAAGAATCACGAGCCTATTGGCACACAAAAATTTAATAATTGATATTAGCTGCCACATAATGGAGACTGCTTCCTCACGAATAAAGTTGGGCAGGTAAACTGAAAACGTGGGGAAACATTCAGCTTACGGATAAATCAATTCCGTAAATCAGACCCACCAAATCGAAACGACTTAACAAAGCTTCTGGAGAGCGAAACGTTGCCACAATAAAATGTCACATTAGTTGCACTTGTGTCCACTATAAATGACAATAAAAACCAATGTAAATACTATAATGATCCAGAGCTACGCAATCTAACACATGCAGCAGCTAGGAGGATTGGTAAAGCATACCGTGAATGTAGAACCCCAGACCTGCTCAGAACGTTCCAAGCTACACTAACAAATGCAAGGAATAGAAAGCAAGAACTTAGGCAACAGGAATGGGAACAATTTGTTAGTGGATTAAATAGGTCTACCCCTTTAAGTTTGGCTTGGAATGGTATAAATAAAATAACCAGGAAAAAGATTGGCAATGTTGCTCATACCTTTCCTCTTGAAAAAGTAAATGACCTCATAAATGACTGGTCCAAAACATTCAGGCATGAAAACCTTCCATCTCATATTAGAAAAAAATTAGAGAGTGCTTCCGAAGAAATATTGAAAATGATTAATTTTATGAGCCAAAATATTGATGAGAGTGATTGCCTCTTCACTGAGTATGAATTAGATAATGCATTAACTGAAGGTCGATCAACTGCTCCTGGAGACGAAGGTATAACCTATGATATTCTCAGACCTTTAAGGCACGTGCCTAATAACCCTTTATTGGCACTGTATAATGCCAGTTACATTGAGGGCGTTCTTCCTACTTCCTGGACCAATAGTCTCATTGTGCCTATCCCTAAGCCTTAACAGCCTGATACATTTAGACCGATCTCCTTAACTAGTTGTCTTTGTAAAACTTTTGAAAGAATTGATACTTAACAGACTGTACTACAGAATCAGACACCATGTCAACTTTCCCCCTACCTCTATGGGTACATGAAAGGTAAAAGTGTGCAGAACTGTATTTCCACCTTTCTCACTGCACACAGCTCTACTAGTTTTACCACTTTTCTTAATCTAAAATCTGCATTTGATATTGCGAACGGAACCGTTATGCTACATGAACTGGCCAGAATGAATATTGGTGGTAGCTTACTCTGCTGGATAATAGGATACCTATCAAATAGAGTATCTTCTGTCCTCTACCAAGGCTTTAGAAGTGAGTCTAATGAAATGTCTTTAGGTGCACCGCAGGGAGGAGTTCTCAGTCCCATGCTATTTAATATTCTGATTAATGCTCTCCTAAATGCTCTACCTGCCTCACCTAAACGTGTAGCTATAAACTATGCTGATGACATCATGATCCATACAACAGGGTATAAGAAGATGAGCACCATTTTTAATGAAGTTCAGGCAATTTGTAGTCGACTGGGCCTCATAATATCTTTCTCTAAAACAAAGATATTAACAAGAAAACGACATCCCCCAGTCCATCTATTTGCAGGGTGAAAACATTAGTTACGTTAAAACTTACAGATATCTTGGTGTAGATGTACCCTTTAACAAATCCACTATACCACAACTAAATAAGAAATGCAAAGATAGGCTACACGTTCTCAAACATGTTGCTGTCTACAACCCCAACTATGGTGATAATGTGAGAATCGTGAGAATGATGTACATAGCATATGTTAGGTCCTTAATTGATTATGCTGCTCCCATGTTGATATTAGCTAGAGAAAGTTCTCTCCGACCTTTGGAGTTAATGCAAAATGAAGCTCTCAGAATTATTCTTGGGTGCCCCAAATCTACAAAGGTTCTTAATATGAGGAAGGAGTTTGGTATTTCTAGTATCAGTGATAGGATTGTTGAGATTAACACTGTACTCGGTATTATAATGCTAAGAAATAAACCAGACACTGTCACAATGAATCTTGCTAAGTGTCTAGAAGTGTACACAGATCTAAATGGATTATGAAAATGTGCAATTGCATAAGTTTTATAACCTGCATGAATTGTATCACTGTAGACAACAAGAGCATTTCACCCCTCCATGGAAGATGTGTTCATTTAATATTACATACCTGCAAGCCCCTCCCAAGAAGCTCATTGTTAGTAATCCCTTCCTTAAATCACTTGTTAAAGCAACTGCTCAAGAAGAAATTTCTCACCTAGCTGGTAGTAATAAGTTATCACAAGTTATATACACTGATGATCTAAACAGGAGTCTTCTGGCAGGGCTGCATCTGCTCTTGTTGCCACTTCCCTACCTCTTCAAGGGGGGCTCCTTGGCGTGGTGAAGAGGCTCTTGGTCTGAGGAATTAGACCTGTTGGTGTGCTTCCTCAGACCGAACCTAATTACCCCCCATTCCCCCCCTTCCCTATTCCATCCTCCCTTTTCCCTTTCCTCCTCCTCCTCCCCATCCCTTATTCCCTTCCTCTTTTTGGCCTGTGGGATTCTTCCTACAGGCACACTGGTTCCTAGGTAGGGGAAGGGTACCGGGGTCCATCCCATTCCATTGAGGTTCTTGGCGGTTGTGTAGTTTGCCGTGGAATCTGCATCGTCTGGGGATGTCCCGATCCCTCTCTTGTCTCCCAGGGGGTGTCTTTCGGGCGACGGGTGTATCTCTGGAGGCAGCCTTTCAGATTCCAAGGGTGGTGGCCAAAGGAGGTATGCTTTGTGGCAGATATTTGGCCGCCCTCTCTTTTGTCCACCAAGGCACCTCGGCGGATGTGAGGTTACTATCCTGGATTGCTGGTTTACTGGCATGAAGGGTAGGGTATGGTACGGGTTCCATGCCGCATCTGCGCTACTTGCGGTGTTGAGGTCCTCTTGGGCGTGGAGGGAAATTTCCAGCCTTTTCATTCCTCCTAGGAACTTTTCCTCCCCGTTCCTCCCTTTTTTTATTCCTTTTTTTATTTTTATTTTCTTTTCTTCTTTCTTTTTTTCGTAAAAACAAAAAGAAAGAAGCAACCTAACCATGGAAGCCCTAGTCCATGAACCTGCTACCCCGTGCCCCTTACTGGTACCACACCCTGTTCTGACCCTGCCTCATTTTTTGACCACTCCTCGGACACTTCTAATGCTTCTGTACCTCTTGCTGTTGCTGTTTTATCACCCATTTCAGGTACCAGGGTTTCGACTGACTCCTTTGATTTGTCTGACCTCCGCTGCCCTTTGACTATGCTTCCGGCCTCTCCCTCTACAGTGCGGCAATTTTCGAATCTCCGGCCTGTCCCACTTTGGACCGACTCCGGTCCCACTCCGAAACGCTCACGACAATTACCTGATTCTACTTCTTCGCTTCCTTCTCACCCTCCTCAGAAACAACCGACCCATCATGCACTCCCTTTCCACGATCAGTTTCGAACTACACAATGGATTAAATTCTTTACTTTACGACCCACTTCCTTTACTGCCTCTCTTTCCGACCATAGTATCGGCAAGGCACTCCTACGCCATGTTGGTAGAGATATATCCTTCCATGCTCTCAAGAGCGGTACATTCATCATTACTGTCCAGGATGCTAACCAAGCTCATGCCTCTCTTCTTTCACATGATCATTTCTCATCTTCGAAAACATCTTCCTTGAATCTTCTGGTGCCACTGTCCGAACGCCCACCAATTACCATC